GGCCTATGTCCAGCAGTGGACTATTAAAGGCTGTCGATGATGATGATGATGATGATGAACTTTTAAGGCATAGTACCCACACTCAAACACCTTTTTGCTTATCGAATAAATCATAAATTGCGCGTTTTATACACTATACTATTGATAAAGAAAGAATATTAATACTAAAACTCTTTTTTTTAGTACCTGGCACTATTGTAGTATTCGGCTTTTTTAATTATTTTATCATAACTTTTGCACAATGCTTTACTACGACCTTTAAAAGAGGATGAAACTACCTCGAATGTTTGTTACTTAATAAAAACTTTGAAATGTATATTATAACAAAAAGTGTTATTATAACCAAAAACGGCACCTGTTCAACTTAAAAGCCAGCTTGCCACAGCCATCAAATATTAAAATAACGTTGTCACAAAGCTTCTCTGAGCGCAATGACGTTAAAAGGCAAAGCTTCGAACTGATGTGTTATTTGACCTATAACTTCCTGACTAAATAATCTTAGACTTTGATAAAGACATATAATAATAATAATATTTTCGGCAATCTGGCAAACAACGCCATCTAGTTTCAAAATAAGCAGAGCTTGTACTATGAAAGCTAGATTGACTGATAGAATACTTACATACTTTTTTGTAAATACATACATATTAAACATAGAAAACACCCAAACTTCGAAACAAATATTTGCAGATCAAAGAAACATTCGGTCCGACCCGGCAATCGAACCCGAGACCACAGAACAGCAGTCGCATATGCTACGACTGAACCACCGAGGGAGTCAAATCGTGTAATAATAATGGTGTCATCCCTTGTTATAAGCCTGATGCCTTCAAAGCTGCATTCAATTTATTAAAGGATTTCTGTTTGGTAATTCTAGTTTAGATTTTAGACGCTGATATTTCTTTGCAAGTTAATCAAATAATGTAACGATTTTGGTCTGGATAAAGATTTAGCACTAGGTTTAGGTTCCGTAGCACCAATCATTGTATAATTTTTTTTTTGGTGAGTGGTTAATACAGTTCGGTGACAGAGATAAAATTGGAGGAATACTACTGGTATGGCGTGCGTCTCATGGTAACGGCCTACGAGTACCTGTATTAGCTTTCACCTTCTGTCAGACAAACACACAAATTCTTGAATTTTTAACAATAATTAAGCTAAAATTCTAATTAATTTTATACTTTTCATATAAAATAGTAGATATAGAATAGCTGGCATATGAGATAATACATTTATTCACGACACATAATCGTAACTAGGAGTTAAAAATAGTAAATAAAGATTGTACTGAAAGAGAAAGGTAGGTTACAAAAGTAGGTTGTAACACAAAAGCAGGTCTGAATCGCGGCGTTTAACTAAAACTAGCTGCTGTCAGGCAGTCCAAACCTTCTAATAACCAACAATTAAAGTTATAACAATTTCACTCGTTTCCTCGAGCATCCTCAGTGAATGTTACGTACATACGCAATGAAACTGACCTCTGACATATAACAAATCAATTAAGCGCCCTGAAAGTGTACGTATATATAACCTCACGTATGTCGGTCATGGCAATATTTGAGCATGATTCGTCTTCGTCACGATCTACAATTATTAGGACATGCATTTAAACACTGGTATAATATTATTGTCTAGTAAACTAAAATGAAACTTCCACAAAATTTCTGGCTTCATCAATAAAAAGGTGGTTACGTGACTGGGTGGAATAAGCATGTCGCGGATGCTCACCGCGAGGCACGGCTTCAGTTCCGAGTTTGGACAATGGCAGGTCGCCCGGCCACTGGCCCTTTATTTTGTAAAATGGCGGAGGCAAGGCGAGTTTTTAAGGCCAAGCTTAAATGGTGTCAGAACAGACAAGATCAACTCAAAATGGATCTTCTTGCCTCAATCCATACCACTAAGGATTTTAAGCAGTTTTGGAAAAAAACAAACAATATGAATGTGAGGCCGAGTCTCCCGGTGAGCGTCGGTGGTATGACTAATCACAAGCATATTGCTGATGCCTTTAGGACACACTTCTCTGTGCGGTCACCTTTGAACTCGGGGTCGTATGATAGGGAATATGCTGGGGCTAGTGTGACCGGGCGGATTACTAAAGTACCAGCTAAGACAGTCGCTAAAATTGTTTCCGGAATGCAACATGGAAAATCGCCGGGTCACGATGGCCTCAGCATAGAACATTTTAAGCATGCAGGGATGCACCTGCCTAAAGTACTCTCTCTGTTTTTTACCCTATGCCTCGGTCACTCTTATTTACCCGAACCGCTTATGCGGACCACTGTGATACCTGTTGTTAAAACCAAAACGGGTGACACGTCCGATGTAAATAACTATCGACCCATCTCGCTTGCCACCACCGCGGCTAAGGTGCTTGACGATGTGTTGAACGGCTGCCTTTCAGATCACGTTGAAGTACACGATGCCCAGTTCGGGTTCAGGGGCGGCCTGTCCACGGAGAGTGCCATACTTAGCCTAAAACACACAGTCAAGTACTATACATCGCGGAGGACGCCGGTCTACGCGTGTTTTCTCGACTTGTCAAAAGCTTTCGATCTTGTTGCCTATGATGTACTGTGGGACAAGTTGGGAGACACGAGTGTTCCGACCGAGTACACAGCGCTCCTTAAATACTGGTATGCTCACCAGACAAACCGGGTGAGATGGGTCGGTACTCTCTCGGATGAGTACAGAATGGAGTGTGGTGTGAGGCAGGGGGGGTTAAGCTCACCTCTATTGTTTAATTTATATATGAACCAGCTTATCGAGCGACTGAGCAGCACACATGTAGGCTGTCACATAGACGGCACATGTGTCAATAATTTAAGTTACGCGGACGACATGGTGCTGCTCAGTCCTTCGATAGGTGGACTGAGAGAGCTACTATCGATCTGCGAGACGTATGCGGAGATGCACGGCCTTAAATACAACTCTAAAAAGAGCGAGATTTTAATATTCAAAACGCAAAAACAACAGTCACGCCGTGTAGCTCCGGTATATCTCAATGGCGTAGTGCTAAAAGTTGTTGAGAAGGTCAGGTATTTAGGCCATATTGTCACCAGTGACCTTCGCGATGACAGCGACATAGAGCGGGAGCGCAGGGCGTTGGCGGTGAGGGGCAATATGCTCGCCCGTAGGTTTGCTCGCTGCACGGCAGACGTTAAAGTGACTTTATTTAAAGCGTTCTGTCAGTCCTTCTATTCGAGCGGCCTGTGGGTGTCATATACAGAACGGGCCTACAACGTCCTGCGCGTACAGTATAACAACGTCTTCAGGATGCTGTTGCGGCTGCCGCGGCATTGTAGTGCATCGGGCATGTTTGCCGAAACACGCACCGACGGGTTTCATGCTCTCATGCGTAAAAAATCGGCTTCCATGCTAAAGCGCTTGCGAAATACCCGGAACAGCGTCCTGAAGATGATTGCTAGTAGGCCAGACTGTCCTATACAAAGGCATTGGGTGGCAATAGCAATCGGAAAGCATAGTTGAATGCCTTTCTACAATTAAGTGCCGTTACTAACAATACTAATATAGACGTTAAGTACTTTCTGTTTCTAACCCATTACTAAAAACCTATGGACTGTATATGTCTGAAATAAATTATTATTATTATTATTATTATTATAATAGACAGTCATCAATCAATCTTCATCAATAGACAGACAATCTAATCTGTTGGACATAACGAAGCATATTATGAGCCCAAACTTGAGGAGTTTATTTGTAGTCAAAGAAGAGTTTCAGTATTGCACCTCATGGCTCTGGTATCAGATTAACTACTTACAAGATATCAATTTATCGTATCGGTGATGGATAAAGAATACGGAGTGTCACCACCCCTATTCATCCCGTGGGTATCATAAGAGTCGACAAAGGGAGCAAATTCTGCAGAAAAGATCACTGGAAGGAGAAGGAAAACAAGAAACAAACCCTATATCGACCCGTCTGGCCAGCGTGGCATAGTAGGCCAAAACCTCCATTCTAAGGAAAGGTCTATGACAAGCAGTGGAATATTTAGGGCTATTGCTGATGGTGAGTCCAAACCGTACCGCGTACATACCAAATTTCATCTACGCACGGTAACTAGAAGTATGTTAAAATTTAAATCGGTGATATGTTTACCTAGTTAGATACTAACAAGTGACGCTAACAAAAGCACCTTAAAGCTAACTATCGAAGTTGTAATGATTGACATTGGATCGATATCAAGTTAAATTAAAAATAAAATGAGGAAAGAAATAGAACGTGCGCTCTTATGTATACTTTTTCTGAATCTTGTAAATTGTACCAGAAAATTTTATCGCATACTAGATAATAAATATATTTCAATTCCCCCGTTAAATGAACTACGGCGAAAGCAAGGTCGTGTTTATTTTTAGAACCACTTTATGCGAAATATATTATGAGGACTAAACCTACCAAGCCTTCAAAAATATTGATTATAATTTTACTGGAAGATTTACCATACTGTAATTTACAAGACATACGGCATTACAGTTTGGATAGGATTTCTATTTTACAATAAGCTAACCTTATTTTTACGTATGCAAATACTTTAAGGAAAACATTATTAAGTCAGCCTCGCATCGATTAAAATATCAAGTTCTGCTCTATGACTCCACCTAAGAAAGTAGTCTGTCCAAACTGAAAAAGACCAATTAGTCAACACGACTAACGTAAGCTGTGCTTTTTCCTGCAAACGTAGATCAGAAGTCCATTGAATGCTATTAGAGGATTTTCAATGCACAAGTGATAAAGCGCACACGTTTTATCGATTATTTACATATATTTTTACGTGATATTTAATATTTTACTAGGTATAGTACTCGGCTTTGCTCGTGTAAAAACGTTTTTCTATTCCTCCTAAATAATACTTTCTTTATGGATTATAGATACACCCAACCCTGACAGAACTGTATACAACAGCTTATGGTGATCCGTAGTCATGGCATGAGAGTGTAACAAAGAAAATGTCTTTAATTTTGTTAAATTTTGGTTTTCAGGATCCAACTCGAGTCGTATGTCCAGTCATTGACGTGATCAGCATGGACACTTTCCAGTATATCGGAGCGTCGGCGGACTTGCGCGGCGGATTCGATTGGAACCTAGTATTCAAGGTAAACTACCAACAATTCCGACCAAAACCGACCATCTGTCGATGTCGTACAATATTTATTTTAGTGCTTTTGGACCTGCTTGTATTAAATTTACTTATTATTGAGTAGGCTTTTGATTCACAAGCTTTACTGTTTGTGTGATTTTATTTCGGAATTTAAGATTTCCCATTAGTGTTAATCAATACTACTCTAAACAATAATTGTAACAGTGTTTTTGTAAAGAGTAGTCGTAATATTATTCCGATAAGCAATAAGTGACATAGGAGAGGCCTATGTCCAGCACTGGACTGCGATAAGCTGATGATGATGAAGCAATAAGTGACATTTAACTTTCTTCGTCTTAAAAATTATTTTCTTGTGAGACTTCCTTCTGCCTACATTATTTCAAGTCCTTCAAGTAATCAAAAAGAAAAAAGAACTAAAGTTAAGATATAAGTATGCGATTATTACCATTTCAGTGGGAGTATTTATCGCACGCTGAGCGAAGTGCACGCCTGAGCGATCCTACGCAAGTTATAAGAACACCCATGATCGCTGGTGGATTGTTTAGTATGGACAGAACGTACTTCAACACGCTTGGGAAGTATGACATGAAGATGGACGTTTGGGGAGGAGAAAATCTAGAAATTTCCTTTAGGTGAGTCACTTCAAGACCTTTAAAAGTTAATTCATGATAACCAAGTACAGAAAACGACCTGGTGAAGGTCGCGGGAAGCCGTTTAATGCGGGCAACACCGGTTGTAGTGGATAGCCTTGGGGGAGGCCTATGTCCAGCAGTGGTCGTATTTCGGTTGAGATGATGATGATGATGAAGTACAGAAAATGTGTTCGTGAAACTTCGAATAGCAATGAAAATTAGGCCCAATATTATGAATAAGTTATAAAGTAATCACAATGTGGATGTTTCCAAGAAATGACATTCGTTAAATCTCTCTTGTACCATCAAAATCATCATATTTATTATCACGCTCTCACATGAGGTCTTTAAACTCTAGGGTCTGGCAATGCGGTGGATCCCTCGAAATAGTTCCGTGTTCGAGGGTAGGCCATGTCTTCCGCAAGCGACATCCTTACACATTCCCTGGAGGATCCGGGGCTGTGTTTGCCAGAAACACCAGGAGAGCTGCCGAAGTATGGATGGACGATTACAAGGAACTCTACTACCGATCACAGCCGTTAGCTAAACAAGTGGATTTTGGAGAGTAAGTTTTCTAACTTTAAATAAAATATCTAACCTTTTTCTATTTTAATTTTCTGTAGTGGAGTGGAGTGGACAATCCTCCTGTAGTGGAGTTAAGAAGCCGGATAGAACTAGGGCAATAGGGTAAAGGATAACGTAAGTCTCGGATAAAAAATTGGATTGTGACTGCACTAGCTCAGTCAGAGGCCAGGGTCATACGTTTATCCTGTGATTAAAATGTCCTCACTTGGGGCACCAGGCAGGGGCATCAAGAGTTCATACACTACACACAAACAATATAACAAACTGTTCAGCACCAAATCTCATTTAGACAGAGTATCAATTGCGTAATAATCATTAAATGGAGAAAAGCCCTAGCAATTACTTACATTATATTAAGACTCTCTTTGGAAATATTAGAGCCCTGCTGCTAAAAATGCATTGTGATTAATAGATTCCACGATTTGAGTCGGGTCTAATATTGAATATTTGAATCCCCTTGATTTTGCTATCCTATACATTACTCTTTAAATATACAAACATTTTCCTTTCTCAGCATATCAGAGCGAGTTGCCCTTAGACACAAGCTTCATTGCAAGCCGTTCCGTTGGTATCTGGAGCATGTGTATCCTGAACTGCAAGTGCCGACTGTGACCCAAGTCTCCCATGTCATCAGACAAGGAGCCAAGTGTTTGGATACTATGGGTCACCTGGTTGACGGGACAATAGGTACGTACACATTCTTGATTACTAAAACGGTATTTAGAATGTACACCATCGCGATGGGACCTATTGTTTCATATAAATATCGAAAAAACTGAATAAATAAATGGTACATGGTAATTATTATATCACGTCAAATAATATTATTTGACTTGATATAACAATCCTGTAAATTGTATAATCTGTTAAGAAGAAACTGAACTCGCACTTTAGAACTAATTTCTGTAAAAAACATAAGAAAAAAATAGGTAGTTGGTTTAAAAGTAAAAACGTAAGTAAAAACAAAAATGGATTTTTTTAAATTGGTTGGATATGAACTTCTTGACATTGAAGATAGTTCAGTCTAAGGTTAAGGATAGTCGTAGTTAAGCTTCAGGGCTTATTTTACTAAATTACTTTTCCAGGTATGTACCCCTGTCATTACACGGGCGGTAATCAAGAATGGCGCTTTGAAAACGGTCAAATCAAACACCACCGTCTGTGTGTTGCCCTGTCTCCCAAAGACCACGTCACGGCAATACTGGCAGGGTGCGACCCAGCAGACGACGCGCAACTGTGGACAAGACAAGGACTTCTAATCAGACATACCAAGTTCAGCGCATGTCTAAATGCAAACCAACCAGCCATTTACATAGATCAGTGTGACGACGACAATCCAAGTCAGCAATTTACTGTTTGAACCAGCTCAAAAGCATTAAGAGGACAGATAGAAATGACAAAAGACAACTAAATGATCATAGTGCAATCGCAAAAGTTATAGCACAATAAAAACTTAAGTGTTTTACTCGCTTGTTCATTCTGGGGATGACTGAAAAAATTTAATTCCTAAGTCGGGACAGAAGTCTTGAAATAGTGCATTTTAGGACTTGAAGAATGTCGCGGAGGTTCAAATCAACCCGATCATAAGCAAATGAGTAAAACCGTGTTTCTTTAATAAATATGTAACAAATAACTTAAGTTTTTGACGTTGAATATCTCAGAGCTGGGACTAAATAATAAAAGATTGGTTAATTCTCAGTAAAAAAAACCACTATGAAAAGGATCTTATGTATTTTATAGTAAATTATCACGAATGAAGTCAGTGTAGACTTGACTCATTTTGCTTTATTGCGTTAACTAGACGTGGCTTCGGTACTTAATATTTTAGTACCTTTAATATTTATGGCACAGTATATTCCTCGCGTCACAATGAAGCTGCCAAACTAATTAATTATTTGTAAATATTATTTTAAGACTTCTACTTCAACATTCCATTTGTTTTGAAAAACAAAACGTTTGTTTAAAAAAAATTGGTATTTGTTTTTTTATCTAATGATCTGAAACTATGTATTCCAAATGTATCATGTATATTGACTTATGATTAAGTAGTGAATAATGAAAATTTTAAGATAATTTAGGTAGTTACCACTATTATAGAAAATACAAATTAAGTGCCGGGAATGTGGAATGCGGATATATTTATAAGATATTAAAAGTATCAGAAAGTTAAGTGATTGATGGCAGAAGATTACACAGTTTTGCCTACTACTGACAGAGTCCTGAATCTCTTCTTTGTTAATCTTATTAGGATGAAGATATCTTCGATCAATATGTAATCTTTCTAATCTACTATTATTTTTAATAGCAACGAGTTTAAATCGTTAATATATACATTTTTTGATTTCCATATAGTTTTCTTCCTCTTCGCTAATATACTATTTTAAACTTCACTGCTTATAGTGTAGTAAGAACAGTATCATCTCGCCTTACAGTACAAGTAAAAATCACAAGCAGTAATTCTAAGTTATAATTCATAAGTTTCATATATCATTTTTGAAATTAAGTTGATCAATGACTATGTTGCAGATCAAACACTGTACTTTATGCAACATAGTTTTATAATTATTATTAACATATTAAGATAATCTTCAATAAATAATAGGCCTATACAGATGAATTGGCAAAATAGTGTCGTGTCTTTAAATTACGTAATTATTTTAATACTCGCTAAGATATATTTTTTATTTACAGTTGTTATGTTAGTTTTTTGAAAAGTATTAATTTATTGTAAATATGTATTTTTTGTATTCTTTAATATTTTTTATATTTTAGATAAACCTCGGTGTATAGCCTACTAATGCGTCAAGACGTATAGTTATAATAATTTTTCTTTGTTCTAATTTGTAAATATTGATTTAACAAAAATGTATCAAATTAAACTGTCATGTCTTGATGCATTATTACACAATGTATGCTCAATATTTTAAAAGACACTGTAATATGACAGCGATATACGAAAAAATGTTATAAATTGTTGTTGCAACCAAAACATCATCTATATAGATATTATATTATTTTTATTTAACGGAAATACGTTAGAGGTATAAAAATAATAATATTTATCTAAAATTCAATATTAGTAGCAGTTTACACATAGTAATAACATTACTTAAATAAAACTTAGTTCTTTACAAATTCTTTTAGTGTAGTTTGGGAATTTGTTAATAACCGTCACTTAAATCATCTCTGTACAAAAACCTAATCTTCAAATAAAGATAAATAATGAAGTTACAGACTTAACGGTAATATTTAATAGTTGTAAACTATGGACAGAGTACATCCAACACTCAAACTAATCTTAGATTTAAAAATATCATTCCAAATTATTACCAATATGGTTCAAAGTATGTAAATAAGTAAATACTATTATACTTATACTTATATTTGAGTAACTACTTGTAACTTATAACTCACTGTAGATTTGAAAATTTACTGACAATTAGAGAAAAAATTCCAAGAGTGGTATTAATATTTATTAAAAATATGCAGTTATTATAAAGTCGGTATATCGAGTATGCTCGACTAGTTTCGGGTTTAAGGCCAATGTAGCAAGTCTAAGTAGTCGGACTTATCCGAAATACATGCGTGAGTGACTTATCCGAACTCATATCAGAAATACGAACGTAGGTTTGTTAATTAATTACAATTACAAGTCCAAACCTTGATCCAACAAAAAAAAAGAATTGTTCCCTAGGTACTGACAATTGAAGTAGAATTAACAAAATTAGGATTGATGAAATGTGACGAAAACGAATCAAATGCACAATATTTTCTAGAGCTACAATAAGTAGAACGTAACCACAACAATGTTTACTCTATTTGTGTTATTAACAAGCGAATCGACTGTACTAGTCAGGTTTTATTGAGATGTTTTATTTTGTTCAATTATAAACATATGCGTGATTTTATTTAAGTGAGAGATACATTTGGTAAATAAAATACATTTGATGAACAATATTTATTTAATTTCCCATATCTCCTATTGAAGATAAGTATCTTATTACTAAACAATATATTTTTTAATTTTTTAAATGAAGTAGGCCCAAACATCCTTTCTAAGGAGAGGCTTATGACCAGCAGTGGACTATTTAAAGCTGTTGATGATGATATATTTCTCTATGGAAGAGTCAAAAATGGATGGATGGACAGGCGTTAAGCAATTAATTCGTTGCTTTTTCCCGAGTGAATGAGTTTACCGGAAACATTTGAAGTCTACATTTGAAGGGAGGGGAGGGAAGGAAAAATCTTACTGAAAAAGAATCAATATCGCAATATTAACGTAATTAAAAATAGGACAATGTTTACAATATGAATGGTACATTATTTTATTATTCTCTTTATTCCATTAAATATACATATAACTTACATTTTTAAATATATTGAAGTTCAAAAAAATACATTTAAAAGTAAAAAAATATTACGTCCCATCGGAATCCCAACGGTATTTTTATTATTAGTGGACTCCGATATCCTGATAATGATGATTATTTTGGATTAATTCCAAACCAGTCTACTTATTTCTCATCGAACTAAATAAGTTTCAATGCCAAGTTCCAGTTGGTTATTAAACTATAAGGACTCAATTAAATAACTCGCATTCTTCCACGTAATTTATTGAACTAAATTAGGCTGACAGTATACATACAAAAAAAGCAGATACAATATTCTTATTAAGAAAAAACTTAAAATAAATTTTATCACGAACGTGGCGTAGGCGAATATTAGACAACCCCAAATTGGCACTCAGATATACATAATTTTTTCATATCACATAGATAATAATAATAATATTTTCGGACATCTAACGCACAACGCTATCTAGTTTCAAACTAAGCAGAGCTTGTACTATGAAAGCTACATTGACTGATAGTATTCTTATATAAAACTGCATAGGACAACAGCACTGTAAAAATAAGGAAAACTTGAAACAAACCCTATAGCGCATGGCATAGTGCAAGCGTGGCATAGTAGGCCAAAACCTCCTTTCTAAGGAGAGGCCTATGTCCAGCAATGGACTATTATAGGCTGTTGATGATAGATTTATACTTTTATACTTTTTTGTAAATATGTACATACATTTGATATTATACATAGAAAACACCCAATCTCCAAAACAAAAAATTGCAGATAATACATGCATTAGGTCTGACCCGACAGCTTTAAAACATAAACCACTTAATCTACTGCCACAATCGTGGGATATACTTGAAAATCATTTAACAATTATATTGCATTTTTGTTAGAGAAGGACTCTTTAAAATCAGTCTTAAAATTATACCCTTCCTTGAAACTATTACTAAATACTACCATTGACTAATTATTACTATTATTAGTTATACCTCAGTTACTTTATATTTTTATCACACTGGAATTTCATTGGCTACAATTATATCCAAATGGAGCAAACTACACAGGACAACAGCACTTTACAAAGAAGGAAAACTTAAAACAAACCCTCTACCAACCCGTCGGCCCAGCGTGGTATAGTAGGCCAAAACCTTCTGTCTAAGGAGGGGCGTATGTCCAGCAGTGGACTATTAAAAGCTGTTGATGAAGACGATAATCGTTTTACCAAGACCTTACCCAAAGTAAAAAATTTTACCCATTAAAAATGAATGTCAGATGAAGTTAAAACAGCATTGAAATTTCACATCGAAACTGAACTCATTTTAGTCTTGATAAAACTTCCTATAACTTTAATGGCCCTAAAAGCATAATTAGGTGAGAGTCTTTGACGCAGTAAGTAATATCCAGTTAGGTTCATAGCCACGAGGATTGCTACCAACATACCGAAGTCCGTCCAAAATGAGACACCGGTCATGCCCATCATTTTCACGAAGTAACTGGAAAAAAAGCATGTAATGATATTTAAGATAAAGAATATTCCATAGACATAACTAAAGTTACAGACTACGTGTTGCATACTAACAGACGAATGAAAAACATCGTCACATCATCAAGAGCCTACAATAGTCCACTGCTGGACATAGGCCTCTCCTTAGAAAGGTTTGCAGTGCCGTTGTCCTGCGTAGTTTGTTCTCTTAGTCGGCTCTTACGACACCCACGGGATGAACAGGGGTGGTGACATTCCGTATTCCTAATCCGTCACATCGTAATTTCTTTAAATATTTCCTTTGTGGAGGAGTCATGCTCCAGCACGTATGTACCCGGCTCGACTTGAGTGGTATCACGGTCTCACGTGAAACCAGTGCTTAGCAATTCTTTCATTGCTTTTTACCGAGTGAGTAAGGGGGAGGGTTAACTTCTCCATTAATTCTAAGAGTGGGGGGTCAGTTCAAGAGTTGTCTCTTGAGTTGCAGTTTTCCATGAGCGATGGTTGGCTATATAATATATTAAGTTCGAGAACGATATTTTCATCAACAACGAGGAAAGCTGGTGAAGTAAGGTGAAGTGAAAGAAATAACTATAATTGTTATTTATAGCAAAGTATTTTTAAAAAAAGCTTTGTTCTTGGCCACCTTTATATTTTATTCATATCATTTATTTATTTAACATTTAAGAAATACATAACATAGCATTAGTTTGTTAAGGTACTGTAAAACTACTAAGGTTTATAGTAAGTACCGTTAGTTCTTTTCAAACAAAGTGCACACGTTACATTACTAGGTTTAAAATAGAAAGACCTCAAAAGATTCCCTAAATAGGGTAAAAAGAAGACAGCTTCTCGCTAAATTATGGTTCATATGTTACCAAACACCAGCGCTATAAAGAGAAAAATACCTGGGTTACCAGTAAATTCTCGGCTAAAACTAGTAGGAAATTTTTAATTTAATCACATTGAAGGCAATATAAATTATTTCACCTTTCTGAGGAGTTCTAAACCATCAATATAAATTAAAAAAGTAAACCATCAGGCAAGTGTTATAATTATTCTTTATGGTCATTAACAACAAAACGAACAAACAAGGCGCAATTGATTAAAATGCGTATGACTGTCTCTAAATATTTTGTCAGGCGCTGTTTTTAAGGTGGTTTGTATCGTCTTGTTTGCTTTATGTTTTTAAAAAGCTGTTACTATTATTTTATCAGCGGTAATACTAGTGTCTAAATAAGAAACAATATCAAAGTAATACGAGTATATATATATATATTACTTTGATATTGTTTAATAATTATAAGGTTTATACTCGTAAATAATTATAAACTTTTTGGATGTATACAATTTAAAGTTTTTCATTATAATCTAAGAAGCTATTTTTTTAAATTATATATATGTGCAATTGTTTAGTAATCTTTTAACTAACATATATTTGTAAACCAATGAGTAGGCCAAACCTCCTCAGGTAATGGATATCGTATAAATAATTTAACACTTACGTAACATCCTTGTATTCACAATATTGTACATCATCAGGACACACCAAATCGTTTCTAGGAGGACCATAGATTGCCACAATTAAACCTTCAATCCCATATCTCAGGTAAGAACAAGATCTCCCAATCCGCCAAATCAAGGGTATTGGATCGTCTCCATAACCTATGCCGTATACTGCCAGAAGCATTAGTGGCACACACAGTGACGGTCCTAAGAATACGGAGTTCTGGAAATATAAAATAGAATTTAATTTTCAAAGGTAGGTTCAGGGCAGGTGAAATTTTTAAGAACTTTATTTTGAAATGTTAGTGAATTGTAGTGACAGAGCCAAGGTGAGAGTTAGGTGTTACAGAGTGAAGGTGGTCATAGTAGATCTATAGACAAGTATCGATTTGATCAATATATTCGCAAAACCTACAAACAAAAACTCACAAAAGCTATCCACTTTCAGGCTCTAAATAGAGTTCCCTACAAAATTATAAAATTTAAAAATTTATCAAGTTCAATGCTTTCAAAATCTCAATCTTTCAATTCAGTGCAGTTCGTTATAAATGTATAGTAAAAAAATAAATCTCACCACAACGCTCAACATAGATGATATTACAGTTCCCATAGATTCTGATATCAGTGCTATCAAAATGCAGGTAGAACTGAACATTAATATTCTGCTAAATTCCATTGGTTGTGACGTCAAGGGATATGTGATAATCAAATATATTAAACTGAAGAATATGGTGGGTGGTGTTCGGGAGCAAACTAAAGCCGCGTAGTAAGCCTTCAGGCCGTACCACCTGTTGAAATATTCACGTTTCACCAGTTGAACTTCTGTAGGAACTGAAAAGTTATAAATATTTTTTATTGCAACATTTTTTCAAAACCATCAGTATCTTTAGTATTTTCTCCATCAGGTTCACACTTTTCTCATTCAAAACCTTAAACAGCTTTGTTTTCTTATTTATTACAGAAAACTAAAATAGTATCATCATCATCAACAGCCTTTACTAGTCCACTGCTGGACATAGGCCTCTCCTCAGAAAGGAGGTTTTGGCCTACTATACCACGCTGGCCAGACGGGTTGGTATAGTATGTTGATTTAAAATAATAATAATAATAATAATAATAATAAATTCGTTTTTACCTCGCCAAACCTATATCCTACTTGACCAACTTAACCTTCGAACGAGGCATCTTCCCTAAAATATTTAAGCACGCTATTATCTGCCCCATCTATAAATCAGGAAGCAAGCATCTTCCCACGAACTATAGACCTATTTCACTGTTGAGTACCCTCTCTAAAGTAGTTGAGAAAATAATGAACAAGCGTTTAATAAGTTATATGGAAAGCAATAAACTGCTTGGTATGAAACAATACGGCTTTCGAGCAAATCGCTCTACTGATGACGCTGTATTACAACTAACATCTAATATTACATCTCACGTTGACAGAGGCGATAAATGTTTAGCCGTATTTCTTGACCTACAAAAGGCGTTTGACACCGTTTCTATTCCGATCCTTTTAACTCGCCTTGAGAATCTAGGCATTAGGGGAAACGCACATCTATGGTTGAAAGATTATCTCACAGAAAGATACCAGTGTGTTAGAGTTGAAAACCATACCAGTAACACCTGTATGGGGTCATATGGGGTTCCACAAGGCAGCGCTCTTGGTCCTACGCTATTTCTTGCATATATTAACGACCTATGTAAATTTGAAATTCAGGGTGCTGACATACAAATGTTTGCCGATGACACAGTGGTATTGTTTCATAGTAATGCATGGGAGAATGTACGACAAATAGCTGAAAAAGGTATGTCTCGTATTACAGCTTGGCTTGAAGATAGTCTACTATCAATAAATGTGGACAAGACAAAATTCCTATGTTTTAGTAAAACTATGGCATCTTCGCCAAAAACACTCCAGTTATCCATACATTGTCATCCATGTAACCGATCAACAATCGAACTGTGTGCACGTTGCAGTTGTCCTGAGCTGTCAAGGGCGACCGAAATCAAATATTTAGGGGTAAATATTGACGACAAATTAAACTGGAAGAAACACATAAACACAGTTAGTGGTCGACTAAGGAAGTTTATTTACATTTTTAAGGATTTACGAATTATACCAGACATTACACTTTTAATACAAACGTACAAAGCCCTAGCCGAATGTTTAATCACCTACTGTATATGTTCGTGGGGCTCAGCTGCAAAAACATACTTGATTGAGGTCGAAAGAGCACAACGGGCTGTTCTTAAAGTACTCCTTTACTTACCATTCCGTCACCCTACTCATCTAGTGTATGAAAAGGCTGAAGTTTTAAGCGTACGAAAGATGTTTGTCTATCAATGTATCCGCAAATATCACAAGCATACTGTACCTCTTCTCCAACCTTCGGGTAAAAGAAAAGACAAATGTCCAATACCAAGGGTTAAAAGCAAATTTGCTCAACAGCGATATAGTAACATTGCACCAAGGCTATATAATAAACTTAATTTAGATTACAAAACCAGACACTTATCGAACTACCAAATTAAAAACATAATTAAAATATGGCTTAACAGTTTGGCCTACGATGATGTAGAAAGCTTATTGCTGGTAAGAACGTAGTTCAGGTTTCAATACACATACACAAACACACAAATACATACACACACACACGCGCGCGCGCACCTGCACAAGCACACGCACACGCATAGGCACACTCACACGCACACTCACACTCAAACGCACACTCACACGCACAGGCACACACACACACATGCACACGCAAAATTAACAAAAGATCTTTTGTAAGTATTCTTCAATGTTTCTTTGTATGTTCCACGTGATTATTGTAACAACTTATTGTATCATGTCTTTGGGAAGGAACTGATCCCCGATATACAGCTCACGCTAGTTTGGGAATCAGGGCTTGCACTTGAATTGTATGTATCATTTGTTACAATAAAATTTATTATTATTATTATTATTAGCTAGGTATGGCGTTACGTACACCTAAGTATTTCAGGTAAAAATGTGTTAATTAGACTAGACAGTCATGTATGCTATTTAAAAAACTCAGGTAATATAAAAACACACTAGTCTACTTACATGAAAGTAACACTGGCATCATTGGTATATAAAGCATGGAAATGATACAAGCGTAACAAAAACCAAAATTGAAGATAGTCTTTGAAGCATCATAGCCCATGCTGTTAAATATACCGCCTATCATGAAACCGATAAATATGTGCATACACACTCGCAACCGCAAATAGTTCTGGAAAGAAAAATAATGATTTACTTTAAAAACTACCACGAATGTCATTGCACCTATTGTAACATACTGTTTTCTTAATTAACTACCGGATGGCCGATTCCCGCTCAAGTCAAACATTTGTGTGTATGAAAATTTTAATGTTTGATTTGTTCTAGGTGTTTCTATGTATAATATGTATGTATTTACAAATAAAAAGTATATATGTATTCATATCAGTTGTCTAGTAGCCATAGTACAAGCTCTGCTTAGTTTGGGACTAGATGGCGTTGTGTGAATGTGGTAGAATATTATTAATATCTTAATTTTCACCATTTGGGTGGATTTTTCTTCGAATTCAAATGAAACCAAGTAGGCCCATTTCAAATAAAAATAGAATTTTCTTAATCGGTTTTTAAATAACGGATTAACGAATAAAGTTATTGAATTTGATTATCAAATAAAGTATTAATAAAGGATTTTCACCTTATTTCTAAATGTTTGCAGCAGCATTCTCTTTAATAACACTGCGAATTGTTGATACGTTGAACATCCATGCCTATAGTTAAGCTTTTCGTAGCCCCCCGAGTTTAACTGTTCAATTTCCATCTCTTGTAAGGTCCTCTCCTCTACTGCATACGTTCTCCATCTTTGATTTTTTCCGTTTTCTATTGCTGATACCATTCGGTCTACATGCGAGCCATACTCTCCGCTTGATACTTCAATAACTGTAATAGACCAATTTAATAAATTAAAACAAAATTGTTATTGCTATAGATAAAGTATATAATATAATAAAAATATTATGAGGTTTTAAAGGCATAACTTGTATACATAAAAATAATGGAAGTTTAATTTAAGTATTTTTTTATTTAAGAATTCATTATCAAGTTTATTTTTTTAATTTTATCACGTCCTAAAATCGAATCTGACTACTTACTAAAATCCGCTGGATTGTAAGTTTTTGGGCAAGGCAAGTACAACTCGTTCAAGAATGGCACCACGCCACCTGAGGTCCCCTGGTACGCGCACCGTCCTTGCGCCACCACATATACATGGTCAAACTCAGCAAACAAACGCGCGGAGGGAGTATGGAGGGAACAGATGACCGTACGCCCTCCCCGAGCTACTCGCTTGAGAAGAGATACGCAAGTTGAAGAAGAAACGTCGTCAAGACCTCTGAAAAAAATACAGCGTAAAATTATTAAGATGCATTCTTACCTTATTTCTTAGAATTAATAAGAGGTTTATCACTGAACATTTAGAAACCGACATCGGTGTTGATAAAGCAAAGCCATTGCCGTTGCCTTAGCAGAAGCAGGTCGAGCTGGGTGGCTGCACGACGCGCTACGGAGCGCGGACGCCCTGAGGGAGCAGGAAGGGAACATCCGGGTTCCCACACAGGAGGGGATCATCTATAAGCCGTAGATGGCCCGAGTTACGTCGGGGGACCAGGGCTTTCCTTTCTAGGGTATAGCTGGTTCCTCGGCTACTGGCAGCTGGAGACGGCGTGGGTGGTATGCGAGGTAAAAAAAAGCCTGTTGGGCTGAAGGTTAATGACCCTGACTCTTTGGTTCTATCTCAACAGTATCTAAAAAATTTTGTTTTTTTTTTTTAAAGACAACGCCCGCTTTAGGAATAAATCCTGTATCGCGGGGAAGTTTACAAACATCATGAAACGGACACAAAGAACACCCAGACTCAGAACAACAATTTGTGGTTCACACAAAGTGTCGTCCCATGTGGGGTTTGAACCCACAACACTCGGCGTAGTAGGAAGCGGCGTGGCGACCGCATAAACCACTACGCCATCCGTGCAGTCAAAATAAAATAACTCAAGTCATGGGTCCAATTCTCACCCAGGACTCCAGGACACATGATTGTGTCATGACTGAGTGTAATTTATGTGCAATCTAATATTTATATGTAAATATATATGTAGAACTTTATACTTCTAACCCACCCCTTTTAATATGTTAGCTTTAAATGGTGACCCTAACTGTACAACTAATTTCAATACAAAAAAAAACGGTTTTAGGCAAATCATAGGTATTGTCATGTTGTTGCTATGAGTTTGTTAGCCCTTTTCTTCTCATAAGGCTCAACCTCTTGGAAACGGGCGGTTATATATCGGCACAGGCATATCATAGATTTTGTATAAGCATTTTTTTTTTCCTTACTATTTGACAAAACAAAGATAGTTGCTATTGTGTGTGTTGATCTACGACTTGAGGGTCTACATAAAAGATGATTTCAATCAATTTTCAGAATTTTATAAACTAAGCATATTTTAAATTTGAATTTGTACGCTGTGAAAGAAATATACATACGTTGTTGGTTCATCTAAGAAAATAACAGGAGGATTATTGAGCAGTTCTAAAGCTATCGACAGCCGTTTTCTTTCGCCGCCCGATAGCCTCTCCGTTGTTGTGTTTCGTGCCTTATTTAACCTTAGTAGTTGAATAATTTCTTCTACCTGTAATGAATAACTTACTTAAAATTACACTAATATGTTTTATAGTTTAGGGGATCAATAAGCAGACGGGTCACCTATTGGTAAGTGATTATCGTCGTCCACGCTCCTGTTCTACAGCTCAAGAAACACAAATGTGTTCACGCTCTTTCGGTGTCCCCCTGCCTTTCTCAGATTTATGGGGAGAGGGGGTATTAGGGTTTTATGGTGAGTAAACTTATCTTCTGATAAGTTTACTCACCCGGTAAAAAGTGGACATTGAAATTATTGCTACTTTTAAATCATATTCTTTTGATGAAATGATTGGTTTCGGTCACAGCGAGTTCACATGTGATTGTGCTTTCGTCGCTTAGGTTATTTTTTCTCTCAGAAAAACCGTTTAAAAGTTTGCCCGGTCCGGGAAACGAACCCGCAGCGCTTTTCAAATTCCATGAGAGGAAGTCGCGGGTACCAGCTAGTTCTACATATACTTGATACATATGGCCGACATTGACCGCATAGAATCACCAGAATGTCCTTTAATACTTACTTCAATAATACTTACTGTCAATAATTTCATAGGTCTCTGTAGACTAAAGATTCTCTTAACGTTTAGTTATACATTTTTCTGCATCATATTTAGTTTTATGCATTGAATAAGGTTCCCATATCACATTTTACAAAAAATCTAGCATATTTAGAATTTAAATTATCCTTATTTAGCCTTTAGCAATGTCAAAACTTGTCTGGAGATTGTCGCAAATGATAAAGTCATCACATTATTGTTACCTATCTATACTATAAAGTTATATAGAAGACTAGCTGATAGCTATATATGATATAGGAATAAATTTTCCCGTTTACGCAACACTTTTATTTATTTATTTTATTTTACATCTTCATGCACTTATGTACATCGGCGGACTTAATGCCCTGGGCATTCTCTACCAGCCAACCTTTAGGTGGTGTAGAAATCTTGTAGGGTAGGTGCACCGAGGTTACGATTGTATCAATGATTGTAAATAATTGTTTATCTAAAACTAAGCAAAATCTACAAATATTATGCATATAAGTTATAATGTAATACAAATATAATTACACATATATATAGAAATAAATATAGATATAAATACATATTATTTATGTTTGTACACTGTGAATGCTTGAATTTAGGAGGTGTACCATTTGTTAAGTCACTTCCGCCATCTCCTCAAGAAGGTAATTATGTACATTCCTTTTAAATGCGAAACGGCTTGTGGACATCCTGATTTCGAGTGGGAGCGCATTCCAGAGCAGAACTACTTGTACAAAGAACGAGGAGTTCACGAAGTCTGAGTTGTGGGGGGGACACAAGAGAAGCAAATTATTCGTTGATCTAAGATTTCTGTCGTGATTAGAGGACAAGAAACGGATGTAAGGATCGAGGTAGGTGGGTGAAAATGGGCAGTTGAGGAATGAAAAGAGAGAGGTCAGCGCTCGCTGATTGCGATGCAAGCGAATAGGTAGCCATTTTAATTGGGAGCGTAAAGCAGACACATGGTCATACTTGCGAAGATTGAATATGTATCGAATGCAGTTATTAAGAAGACGGTCTAGCTTATTGAGGAGGTCTGCATTCAGGTCGAAGTAACACACATCACCATAGTCAATTATAGGAACAATTAGGGACTGCATGAGAGAGGTTTTCGTTTTAGTGGGCAAGAAGTTTTTAAGTCGGTATAGTGTTCGCAGGTTACCCGTTACTTTTTGGCTCACATGAGTAACTTGAGCACGCCAATCTAGGGTTGAGTCGATGAGCAGGCCTAGGTCTTTGACTACCGGGCTCCAAGGTATAACTGAGCTGTTGAAGATGACTGGTGGGACTGATGTAGTATCCAATCTTCCAATCATATGTTTGCTGCCGACTACGATCGCCTGGCATTTAGTAGGGTTTACTGACAATCCGAATCTGATCGACCAGGATTTTATAAAATCAAGGTCTCTGTTGACGTCATCGATGGCTCGCGTTATATCCTCCACCCTTGCTTGTGAGTATATCTGCAGATCATCGGCATATAGGTGATACGCACACTGAAGGTGTTGAGTTATGAGGTTGATAAAGATAGAGAATAAAAGAGGAGATAAAATTCCGCCTTGAGGGACTCCAGCGTGGAGATCGCAAAAACTCGACGACACGTTCTGAACGCGAACACACTGCTGGCGCCCCTGAAGATAGGTGGAGAACCATTCCAGTGCCTCTGAGGACATCTTAAGGTATTCAAGGATTGATAGTAGAATTTCGTGACTGACGGTATTAAAAGCGTTAGAGAAATCAACCAAGACCAGAACTGTAACTTTGGTGTCTTCCATGCCCTTTCTAATATCCCCAGTCACTTTGAGGAGGGCGGTAGTAGTGCTGTGGCCAGGTCTAAAACCGGACTGTAGGGGACTTAGCAGTTTTTGTCGGTGCACAAATTCTGAAAGCTGCTTGTATACACAGGCCTCGAGCACTTTAGACAGGAAGGGAAGAATAGAAATAGGTCGGAAGTGTTCGGGTAATGAAGGGTTATTTTTTTTGGGGAGAGGGATGATGTTCGCCTTACGCCACAGAGAGGGAAAGGTTCCTGAGTCTAGAGAAAAGTTAATTATGTGAGTAATTACCGAGAGAGTATAGTCCAGAATGGTGACAATCATGCGTCGGCTAATGCCATCATGCCCCACAGCATTAGAGTGGATAGATAGGATAATCTTCTTGATGTCCCCAGAAGGCACCGGAGAAAATTCGAATGAGTCGATACTGGGACTGGTAAGACCAGATATGTAGTTCAGCGTTTGATCCTTGGTTTGTAGATCCAGCGTGGGTGTGGATGAGAAATGACGATTGAGATCGTTCAAATCAATTGTGTTCTTAAACTCAGGTTGTTGTTTATTGCCAATACCTAGAGTACCGAGAAATTTCCAGATACTGGATGAAGAGGAGGACTCTATGTTTTGAAGAATGTGTTGGCGTTTAGAGTTGCGTATCACCTGATTACACCGATTCCGTGCAGTCTTATAACTGTTCCACTTATCCTCGCACCGGTCTCTCTTAAATCTAAGAAAGGACTGGTCCCTCCGCCTCATTGCTGTTCGGACCTCCTGTGTTAGCCATGGTGCCGGGGCACGTTTTATTTTAATTGACTTGATGGGAGCGTGGACGTCGTACAGTCGCTCAATTGTGTCATTAAAAATATGGACTTTGTTGTCCACGTCGGTAGCTGCTGCCACACTCGTCCAATTTATCTCCGCGGCATCTGCATGTAATTTATCCAGATCTATGCGCCGGAAACTACGAATTTGTAGAATTTTTGGAGGTGATTTAGGAGGTTTCAGGATATAAGATAGGAAGATCAGGTCGTGATGGGAAAAACCGGGGGCAGGAAGTTGACCGTGGGAGAAGACAAGGTTTGGGGAAGAAGTGAGCATTAGGTCAAGCCAGGTGTCCTGGTGTTGGATGTTATGATGAGTGGCTTGGAGCGGCAGGATGTGGAGACTGGTTGATTGGATGATCTGAAGGAAGTTGCGAGCACGGGAAGAGTTTAAGGCTAGGAGGTCAGTGTTAAAATCTCCCATGATGATGTGATGTGAGTATTCTGACCCTAAAGATTCCAGAACTGTTTCCAGACTGGAGAAGTAATTGACAGCGGGAGGGCAATAGACTACCCCAAGAATGACTTTAACTCCCCTGACACAAACCTCGAGGAACAGGTATTCAGCGCTAGTGGAGGTATTGGAAGAGGAGGAGGCTAGTGGTTTATACGGTAAATCACTACGAAGGTAGATGGCGACGCCGCCACCTCTTTTATCCGAACGGTCGTTGCGGATGAGGACAAAGCCGGTGAGAGCGTAGGAAGTAGAGGGAAGGTGAGGTTTGAGCCAGGTCTCAGAAATCAGGATGGCATGAACGTCATTGTCTGAGAAAGTCTCAGTTAAATCGCCAATGTGGCTAGGGACACTCTGCGCGTTTATGTGGCAGACATTTAAGTGAGGACGAGATCGAGTAGAAAATGTTTGCCGTAATTGGTCACCCAGAGTCTCTGTCAAGGAGCCGAAACTATCACCCTCTGAAGATTCATTGGCAGAGAAGTATACGTCATCCACATCATCAACCATCAGTGTACTGATATAAACTAATTAAGTATATAATATATAAAATCTACTAAGTCTACTAAATCTACTAAGTCTACTAAATCTACTAAATCTACCAAATCTACTGGTCTCAATAACAAATCGGCCGGGATTGGTAGATCATTTCTCTACACCACCCACCAGCGGGCACAAACACAAAACTTAGTTAAGTCAAATAACACCTTATGGTAAGTGTCTGAAATCACATAAATCTGAAGTCAATTTGTTCATCCCTACATAGAACATTTAAAAGAAACAAAAAAAAAATTACAAAAAAAATGAAAAAAAAAAAACGTATAAATGAGCGGAAAAGAACAAACAAAAAAAAAAAATGATAATAATTTAAAAAGAGAAACAGGCAAAAAAAAGTCAAACAGTACAGACACTTAATTCTACTACAAAACAACATTCCGAACGCACCCGAACTGGATGTCGAGCGAAAAGGCATTGTTTTGACAGGCAGATGTCATCGAGAATGTAGTTGTCACCAAATAAATGAATAATACAAAAGATGTAAACATGGAGAACTCTAAGTGTTTAGGTGATAACAACAACCTTATCGAGTGCGTAAACAAAGTGAGAGCGAGATATTAATTAAAGTTAAAGATAAATGTAAAGTAGGGAGATATTGTTATTGTTTCCGAGAACTTTTTTTGGCTATGTTCGAAGTTGCTTTGGGCGGTGATGCTGCCTTGGGATATTTGGCCATAAGGGGCTTCAACTCGTCCAGTGACGTTATTTTATGACGGCTATTATCATCGGGTTTGACAAAGATGGTGCCGTCCTGTGTCCAGCAGGCCGACATACCGAAATGTAGCCGAGCCATGCTGAATGCCATCTGTCGAGATCTGGTCAAAAACTCTCTTACCGAGAAGCCGGAGTCCTTCAACGACGTCTTTGCCTTCCAGACAGCAGCTCGAACTATCGCCGAGGAGAATCTGATAAGCACTGGGCGACGACGTTCCCCTGATGGAGTACCCAAGCGGTGACAGAGCTGGATGTTGGGTGCAGTGATATCTTTAAGTCCCATCTTATGATTTAAAATACTCAACAGGGTCTTGCTACAATCCTCCTGAACAGCTTCAGGTACACCGAGGAAGATAAGTGCCTTGCGACGATGGCGGGTCTCCATAACATCCACCATCTTGGCACATTCGTTGATTTGTTTCCGTAGCAGGCCCAACATGTTAAACATGAGCTCTCGGAATGCTCTAAATTCTTCTGACACTCGGGCAACGGTATCTTTGGAGTTCCCCCCGGAATGCAGCTGTGCTTCTAACTGGGTCATCCTCTTGGAGAAGCTTTCCTCAAGACTGCTTTGAGCCATTTGGATATCGGCGAGTTGGGACATGTTGGATAAAAAGTTGTTGAGTAGTAGTTGTTGTAATTTGTGTAAAAAGGCTGGCAGGTGGCTCAGAAACTTAGATCAGCACATATGAACAGACTAATAATTGTAAGTATTGAGTTAATAAGCAGAAATTCACTTAATTAGGTAGTAAATAAGCTATAAATAATTAAAATTTATTTAGAGCTTTTAACAATACGTGTGAACTTTTTAACACCCACTTTTCATTGGTGCTCTACTCTTACAGGTCGTAGCCCGACGGTATAGCTTTCCTCAATAACCATAAGTACCTGTGATTAGCGATTTATAAAAATTAATATTCGACGGGGCTGTTGGTCTAGTGGTTAGTGACCCTGACTGCTAAACCGGAGGTCGTGGGTTCGAATCCCACCCAGGACAAATATTGTGTGATGAGCACGGTCATTTGTTCTGTGTCTGGGTGTAATCTATATACATATTTATAAGAGATTTCCACGTATATAGTCACTCATCACGGTATCTCTGGAACCATTAGAGCTAAAGACTTGAAATTTGGCAGGAATATTCTTTTCACCGAGTAGAGGTCAGCTAAGAACGGATTTTAAGAAATTCAAAAAAAAAAAAGGAAAAATGTAAATAGCAAAACAACGTTTGCAGGGTCAGCTAGTTTACCTATAATATGTATCTATTTAAAATATATAAGTATATTTATCAGCAGTCTGGTTACCATAGTACAGGCTCTGCCTAGTTTGGGATCAGCCGGCCGTGTGTGAAATGTGTGAGATGTATATTATATTATAATATTATTATTTATGTTTCCAATATCAATGTCAATTAAAAAAAAAAAATACCTACAATGATAGTTTTTTTCTCGTTAGATAGATCAGTGCCAAGCTTCAAGTCAGCAGCAATAGACATAGCTTCTTGCACCGTGATGTATGGTTGCAGCAAATCTTCTTGCATTATGTACCTTGATAGTTTTCTGAATTGTTTAAGGTTTCGGGGCTCGCCATTTGTGGAGATTATACCGCTGGCTCCGGCTAACCTGGATTAAAATATAAAGCAATTAAAAACAAACAGGGACAGGTCATCATCCTCATTTTTGTGATTTTCCTCATTTCATTTGTTGTTAGTGCAAATTGTCATCAGACGGACACTTTAGACATACGTTGGGAAAATTGAGGGTATCATTATAAAAGAAAAAGTTGGTGAGATGGGAAATGGTAGAAAAATCGCTTGTACGAATTGATTGGGTAGTGTAGGCAATAGCATAAGTCAACGGTCGCATATCTGTCACTCAAACTAACTGTTGTCTAGAAAACCAGACGAACTTATGCAAATCTTAAGTTAGTATAATTCGGTGATAAATGTACATACTTACATATACATATATTATGTATGTAAAGCTTGACCTATACCAGCTCGAATAGAAAATATTTTATATCGAATAGTTTAATGACGTTTACAGTTTTAGAATTAATCATAATTAAAGATAATAATTTACATTATCCTTGAAGTAATGTCAACATAAATTATTATAATAAAAACCTACTAATATATAATTGATCCCGCGACCGCCATCGTTAAATGCATCTTATGCATTTTGTGCAAATCTATTTTATCTAGTAAAAAATTGATTAAATATCTTTTTTTTTATGTTAGAGGGGTAGATAAGCAGACGGGTCACCTGATGGAAAGTGACCATCGTCGCCCATGAACGCCTGCAACTAAGGAGTCACAAACGCGTTGCCGGCCTTTTAGGAAGGAGTACGCTCTTTTCTTGAAGGTTATTATCATTAAACTCTTCTTACTATGAATTTTAGTTTGTCTTTTCTTTGTGGTTTTACTGCGGCTTCCATAAGAATAAGCTTTAAAAACCTCAGTAACGATTTTTTCATAATTATTTAGTGTTGTGTTACGATTAATTACACATTCTTAACGAAAACGAGTAATTCATGTCATACTGTATCTATACATGTAACAAATACTAAATCTTTGATGCTGTAGTGAGCTTCTTAATTAATTCCAACATTAAGTAAACGTTTAGTTTTCTTGATTCGCTTACCGCAGACTAAACGACTGCACGGTTGGCGTAGTGGTTTAAGTTAACTACTACGCAGAGTGTTGTGGGTTCGATCCCCATACGGGACGACACTTTGTGTGATTCACAGATTGTTGTTCTGAGTCTGGGTGTTCTTTGTGTTCGTTTTACATATGTTTGTAAAGTCCCCCGCGATACAGGATATTATCCTAATGCGGGAGTTGTCTCTTTACAAAAAAAAATAAGTGCTGAGAATTGAGCTCCAGATGAAATGAATGAAAATATTTCGAAAAGTTTTGTTGTGTTTGAGGATATTAAGTATAAAGGCAAGTAAACAGATAATATTTAGTGAAAAATGTGAAAACTAAATGAGTAAAATTACATACACGATCCAAACTTTTATTTCTGTACTCTGTTGCGTTCTCACGCTTTTCGGTTCTTAGGGCCTGTATTGCCTGACCAATCATAGTCACAGGTCATAACTGTATTGTACCAATGGCATCATGATCAACATGGCTTTACAGCAAAACAAGTACAGTTCAGGATCAGTTTATTTCTGAAATTTTATGTGTCTTTGTTAGTTATTTATTACGGTACCATATGGACAACGATACACGTACTATTAAAGTCTATAATTATGACAACAATTATTATTATACACACAACAACATAAATGCCGGCTAGAATTGCAAACAAGGCAATTTTCGTTTTCAACCCCCATTTTGCTGTAATTAAAATGCAACTCGTGGTTATTATTTTATTATTACATAAACACTAGTTACACGTTCAGTTTACACAAAATGAGATAATTTACTTAAATTGCGTGAATTATGTTTTCTCATCCAGTAAGTACTGCAATTGGAAATGAGTTTTTTTTTTTAATTGGCAACGAAAAGCACCTCGAAACAGTATAGCTAGAAGTAGTTGAATTTTTGGATCTCAAAGGAATTCTTGAAGTACATAAACAAGAGAAAAAACCTATCATTATATTTTTGTTTAGGTTTTTTTTGGGAATTAGGATAGTATAGACCGTGTGGTGAGGGAATAAGAATACGGATTGTCACCACCCCCACTCATCCCGTGGGTGTCGTAAGAGCCGACTAAGGGAGCAAACTATGCAGGACAACAAAACCGCAAAGAGAAGGAAAACTTGACACAAACCCTATAACAGCCCGTCTGGCCAGCGTGGTATAGTAGGCCAAAACCTCCTTTCTAAGGAGAGGCCTATGCCCAGCAGTGGACAATTAAAGGGTGTTGATGATGATGTAGTGTTTTATTTCTGTGAATTAGTTTTTTTTTTAAGATTTATTATAAATACCCGAACAACTATACACTTGGCCTTTGTCTATGATAAATTATATAATTAGACATAACCATGCTTTGTACTTACATAGATCTTTTTATTTTTACCTTTAAAGCCCATAAAAATGGTATTTTATGGTGTTAAAATAACAAATTATAAATAAAGACTTATATATATATATATATATATATATATATATATATATATATATATAATTATGTTAAAGGGAATTAATTAGCTCACGGTAGGTATTAGGTACATACGAGTACCTTTGAATTACCTGACACTTCGACCAGGTTGCACTGACCGTGATCACAGGTTGATAGAGCGCTTTAAATTCCGTAAACATATACATATATTATGGAATGCTATAGTTTTAAGTTAATATTTTAGTTCAAGAGTTAAGTATTAAAGTTAGTAAGAGTTAATTTAAATCCGCAATAAAACGTGGCTTGTGCCAGAAGGCCTACTACTCAATTGTGGATTACATGGAAGACAAGAATGCTTGGGATTAATTAGCGCAGGCTATTTCTTTCTTAACTAAATATGTGATGTGGCTAGAGTGTTTTTTATTATTATTATTTTTTCTATTTTTTATGTTTCACTTCATTTTCTCTTGTATTCGTTTTTTTTTCTTAATCTTGTTTTCTCTTCATTGTCTTTTTACCTTTTAGTCCTTAATAACGGACATACTAGCACACATCAAAACAATGTTGTGATATATTTAATAGGGCCTTTGTATCTATCTGTGAATTGCAAAAGAGTGGCCATGAATTTGTTTGCCCTTTCTTCTCATAAGGCTCAACCCCTTGGAAACGGGCGGTTGTAGATCTTCACAGGCATATCATAGATTTTGCATGGGTTTGATTTTTGTTACATTTTTTGTTTACTATTTGACAAAACATATATTGTTGCTATTGTGTGTGTTGAGAGTCTACATAAGAGTCTACATACAATGAAAATTTTATGAAATAAAGAGAGTTTGAGTTTGAATAATCATTCATCTGCATCAAGTGGTTAAGTGGTAACCGAGTAGATTTAGACATTCGAAAGTTGAGCAATCCTAGCCAGGTCAGTCTACGGATGGGTGATTTTTCTTAACACATTGAGACCCCGCCGTGCCTCAGAGAGCACGTTAATCCGATGGTCCCGGTTGCCATACGAACATCTGTTATAATCGTTACGGGTAGTTGGAGCTCTAAAAACTCCGGTAACATTCTATCTATAGATCTTCGATATCGCGTATTATTTGGGTTGTGTAGATCTAATGGCAGTAGTTCTGCGTAAAAACACGTTTCGTAGTAGAGGTAAAGGCGACACTAACCGAGGTTGGGAAAAGGTAAAATAACATTCTACGGAAGGGCCCTACCAGTCGATAGAGGAACGATATAACTAAAAAAAGACGTGTGGCACTCGGGGACTGCCGCGGTAAAGCTATTGCATAGCATTTTTTGTCAACTTATGCAATTATAATTATTTATTTATTTTATTTATGCAGTATTTTTTTTCCTTTGTTTTTTTTTTCTTTGATATTAATTAGATTGCGGGGCGAAGAGGGGGATTACGAATGCGCAGTAACGCCGATACAACCAATGCCACCTAGAGGCGAGTTGCTGAACTAAAGAGACAAGTGTGATATTTCAAAAAAGTCATTACAAGTTCTGCTATTCATCGATAGATGGCAAAACTAAAAAGTATCACGTGGGGTGTGTTAGGTTATTTTCGTTACGGAATTTCTGGATTAGGTCTCCACGCTCAAGGCACGCGATAGAAGCTATGCAATAGCTTAAAAACTTATCACCGTAACGGTTTCAAAGTAGGATTTACATCCGTGAGGAGTGCGATGCTGGATTCACCTAAAATCAAAGTGCTTCTAACTAATTTGACCTTATTTTAACTGGACAACACTAGGCACATTCATCACAAATGTTGCGTTATAATACTTATAATTATTGTGTCTGTTTCCACCTATCATTTATAATGATGTGAAGTTAGAATCCTTGCTGACGTTGGAGGCTTTTGATTTTTTCAAAATATTTATTAAACCTGCGTTTCTACAATTTCTTTTAATTTTAATACTTTTTTTGTGTATTAGTGACACTTCATTCTGGACGAAGAGCAACTGAAGAGATAACATACAGTTGATAGCCTGCATTATAAGCACACATTTAAGACGCATAGATAAATAGATAGAAAAGTCTTTTGTTTTGTTTACAAAGTGTCTATGAATAAAGAGATGGATCAAAATGTTTCGGAGAAAGCATACTTAAGAAATACACAATACTTAAGACAAACCTTACACTTAATACGTATTGTTTGTTTAAATTACTGACTTAGAACTAGAGTTCATCACTAGGTGGCGCCGCCATCTTTGAATAATGCTGATTGATTTCTGTTCCTAGCATTTTAACTTAAATTCTTTTTTTTTCTTTGCTGTCTGGGTCAAATTATGATAATTCATTTATTCTTTTACCGTTTGGACATAAATATAAATATATAAAAACATTATGAAAAGTAAGTCGAAATGTCATCGTGTTTTTTGTTTATGTCTAAAATCCAAAATCCAAAATCGATCTAAGTGGCGTGCAATGGGAGAGGCCTATGTCCAGTAGTGGACTGCGATAGGCTGATGATGATACACTGTCTTGTGAAGTTCAAGGTTTTAAGTTTTAACAGAGTTCAAACCATTCGTCCGTGTTGTGACGGATTAAGAATACGAAGAGTCACCCACACAATTCATCCCATGGGTGTCATAAGACTAAGACAGCAAACTATGCGTAGTTTGCTCTCTTTGTTTTGCTAGAACAACAGCACTGCAAAGATAAGGAAAACTTGACACAGACCCTGTACCAACCCATCTAGTCAGCGTGGTATAGTAAGCCAAAAACTTATTTCTGGGAAGAAGTTTATATCCAGCAGTAGACTAATAGAGACTTTTGATGATGATGATGAGACTTCAATCAGAAGGAGGTTCTCAATTTGTTGACCCATTCAAGTTTTTATTATATTAGATTAGTAAATTTAAAGAAAACATTTGAAGTTTAATAGCAGAAAACAAATCTAAATCACAGCTTATTACAATTTGTTATAATTAAGACGAACTGGTGACCCTTTATTTTATAGTTTATAGTACAATAGTGTATAACATACCGATATCCAGCTAATATGTTCAACAAGGTACTCTTCCCAGCACCGGACGGGCCCAAAATGGCTGTTAGCTGACCCGAACGGAAGTCACCGTTTATTCCACGCAAGATGATCTTGGAACCTGAAAGAATAATATCAATTGTTACTCACGTGATCGAATCCTTTGATGTTGTTGAATAGACTATTAGAAAATCGTTTTATATCATCATCATCAACAATCTTTAACAGTCCACTGCTGGAGGCCCATGGCCTCTCCTTAGAAAAGAGGTTTTGGCCGTTTTATACAATTCTTATCTATACAAATAAATAAAACTGAAGTGTATGTTTTTAATGTCAAAATGATAGGTTTTTTTTCATGCTCTTATGATTATTCGCACGTTACTTATGCCTAAAAACCAGTTTAAATATTTTTTGCTGTCTATCTGTTTGTTCGCGTGTTCCGATTTTTATAATATTTTAATACCATGTAGCTGCCTATATAAGGAGTAACTTAGGCTATTTTTCTTCTCAGAAAAACCTTATAAAATTTTGCCCTTTCCGGAAATGAAACCCGAGGCCTTATGGACTCCAGTCATGTACCGTATTACACCACTAAGGCAGCGTTTTTTTAAATTCAATGAACGAAGTCTCGGATAACAGCTAGTTGATTTATAAAATTAACACCAAGTATATGCAAGTACAAAGATAATAAACAATTGACGGGCCTGTTGGTACAGTGATTAGTGACCCTGGCTGCTAAGCCGGAAGTCGTGGGTACGATTTCCACCCAGGACAAATTATTGTGTGATGAACACGATTATTTGTTTGGTGTAATTTAAATTAGCCGATTAGCGTTAAGCCGATTTGATGGGATACAATCAAGTCAACAAATCGAGTCCAATGGTAGGTACGTCAAAATTTTGCCATGTAGATATTCGTAGTCTTTATGTATAATGTATATACAATAAAAGTGACCAACACATACAATCTATACTAATATTATTAAGCTGAAGATTTTATTTGGTTGAACGCGCTAATCTCAGGAACTACTGGTTCGCATTGGAAAATTATCTTAGTGTAAGATAGCCCATCTGTCGAGGAACGCTGTATGTTACTTCACGCTACGATCAATAGGAGGAGAGCATCAATGAAAAATATTGCAAAATCGGTAAAAAATTGATACTTTTATCGCAATTGACGCAGACAAAATTGAGGCCAGCTAGTGTTTATATCATTTTACGAAAATTTAGCTTCTAAAAAACAATCTTACATTAAATTAATTAAAACACGATCTGCTATTTCAGAGAGATAAAACAAAAAGAAATGTTTCTTCTAAATAATAATAAAGTTGTTTTATGTTTGCGTAAAAAAAATATAGTAAAAACTTTAGTAGGAAAACTATACCAACTCGTCTGGCTAGCATTTTATAGTAGGCTAAACCCCTATTTTCTTAGGCATCCTCCGGGCCTATCCAGCAGTAGACTGTTAGAGGCTGTTAGAGAAATAATACCACCTGATTACGTTAATTTCCGAATATATATTTAAGTATAGTAACGAATTTACCTTCACATAGTCTTACGTCATGTTTACGTGAAGGCTGTTGAATGATTTATTTAAAGCATAGGATACTACCTAATTAAATCATTGTAAAACAAACTGATGACATAACCTAACTGGTGTAATAAGAAATATGGTCCCTGTAATAAAACTGGTTTGAAGAAAACACATACCCAATAAACAATATTGTACCGTCCGTGTAGTGACGGATTAAGAATACAAATTGTCACCACCCCAATTCATCCCGTGGGTGTCGTAAGAGCCGACTAAGGGAGCAAACTAAGCAGGACAACAGCACTGCAAAGAGAAGGAAAACTTGAAACAAACCCTATACCAACCCGTCTGGCCAGCGTGGTATAGTAGGCCAAAACCTCCTTTCTAAGGAGAGGCCTATGTCCAGCAGTGGACTAGTATAGGCTGTTGATGATGATGATGTGATAAACAATATTTCCTGTTTTGCATTTAAATATACTATAGATCGGCTGGCGACCGTTTAAATGACTTGTTAAATTATTGTCCAATATAACTTGAACTGTCATTGTATTTTTTTTTCAAAGACAACTTCCGCACTAGGACTATAATCCTGTGTCGCTGCGGACTTAGAAACACACATGAAACAGACACTAAGAACACCGAGACTCAGAACAAAAATTTGTGGATCAGACAAAGTGTTGTCCCATGTGGGGATCAAACCCAGTGGGGATCAGCGCAGTAGGAAGCGGCGAGGTGACCACTTAAACTACTACGCCATCCTTGTAGTCCTATATACTGGACGTCGAGCTTTATTCTTAATATCTTAATTGAACAGTTCTTTCGTATCTTTTCACAGAGTGAGTGATTACAGTAGTTAGTGCCTACATATAATATTTCAAACGGTCCTAATCAAAATGAAAGACCGTCCTTCATATCCGTGATTATGAACGATCAGTGGCGAAAACATGCAATTAACAAATAATTTGTGCAACATCCCGCGGACGCTGCGAGCGAGTGTCTGTTGCAATGTCATGTCTACAAAATTCGATATAGTTGGTTTGATGCAAGAATTTTAATGATACCTTAGGTTAAATATCAGGGATCAGTTGACAATTTAAATACAACTGAATTCCAATATTTATATCGATTCAAAACATTCTGTAAAACGCTATATTTTTTACGTGTGTTTAAATCCCTCTATAACCTGCTTAAAGGCCTTGGATTGGGATAAGGGTTAGAAAGATCTTTTTTTGAACGAACATTCAAAGTGGTATTGCTAGGCTCATATCAAATATGGTTAGGTAGAGGAGGTAACACAGCAGACATGGGGGTGAGCGATGACGCGTCGCAAGGAGTACTCCCTAAACCTACTTCTGAATCGCAATTCAATTCAATTAACCTATATAGTCTTTTGAAGTTTAAAAATAATAAAAAGTAAGTAAGATTTCTTTTTGAAAGACATTAAGCCATAAACTAAAAAAATAAAAATAAAGTAGAAACTCTTTATGACGGAGTTCAGGAAATCCCAATACATTTATTAAAGTGACGTAAGGTGCACAATAACTCATATATCAAAGCCGGGAGTTTCAGAGGCACAAATAGGCCACATTCACCGGCGCGGAGGTTATACCACGACCTCACAGAAAACTGGTGTCAAGTTTTTCAACGCCCCAAACCCTGGAGGGGTCGCCTCCCCGCTCCCCCCTTTGAGTTTCCACCTAATCCTGGAAGGGGGGCTCAATGTTCATAGGCAGCGGTAAATACTTCCCATCAGGTGACTGCTCAAAATCAGTAAAAAAGACGATGACGTAATTCAAGGGAATCAATAGTTTTTTTTAGTTTATTACCCATTAAAGTATACGACGAGAGTTATTTATTAGTGCGGATGTAGTTCTAGTGGCAATTAATCAATGGAAAATATTTAATGATTTAATATGTTAGGTATGAATATATAAGTACAGTTAAAGGTTACCTACTAAGTTTAACTAGTTTAAATAAAAAACTAAAATACTTTATTTATACACATGTACATATACTAAAAGGTTTGAAATTAGTTAATAAAAAGGAATGCATTTGCCCAATTTCATCATATTGGTCAGTCGTCATTAAGACGTTTCAGTATTATTAAATAAATATTACAGATAAACTACTCCCAGCTAGAGATCAAATGACCGTGCTCATTATACATTTATTTGTCCTGGTTGGGAATCAACCCCACAACCACTGGTGTAGCACCTCCTCATCACCTTCACTAACCACTGGACTAGTAGGTATTTCGAAAACATAGACAAAACTAGAAGGAACGAAGTTCCTAATCCTGCGTTACGCGCTCTGAGTGGATGGGAGCGAGACCGAAAAATGTGTTACAAGATTTTTTCTCGTGTCCATAGACCTCTTACGCCGTTTTTATTTTTCAATGGACTGCACGGACTTACTACCACGCTGAGTGTTGGCTTTTCGATCCACATGGGACGACACTTTGTGTGATCCACAAATTGTTGTGCTGAGTCTGGGTGTTCTTTGTATCCGTTTCATGTATGTTTGTAAAGTCCTCCGCGACACAGGATATATTCCTAATGCGGAGGTCTTTAAAAAAAGAAAGAAAAAAAAATAGAAAGAATGGCTACATCTAAAAGATTATTTGATTAATATATGATGCAAATATTATACCACACTCAATGAAATGTAACTAACAAGTTAGAGCAATGAGATTTCGAAACACCAAAAGGGCTGCTGAGGAGATTGTCTTAGTATGTAGTACCTATAGGGCCCAAGGATACGGTATGAACGATCGTATGATAAGTTCAATACTGGAATTAGATCAAAGATATAACTGGTTATTTTACTAATTTGAAACAAAATTGGTTTGTATACGTTTCAAACACTTAAAAAGTTATGTTTAAATTAGACTTGCAACGAATAGTATATTCGGCGATATACCGAATACCGAATATTCGGCGAGGCCCCTGACCGAATAGCCGAATATTAGGCAAAAGTATTCGGCTGGATTTTAGCGCCAAAAACTTGTACAGACGTGAATTAAATTATGTACCTGTTTTATGTACCAATGACTACTTAATAAATGATTATAAAAGAAATGAGAACCTTACCCTTCTAAATTTTGATTACCACAATAATTCAAATACATAGAATCCTGCATTTTTCCAATTCAGAAGATGATTATGTACCTGTGTTATGCACCAATGACTACTTAAATGATTATAACAGAAATGAAAATATGAATATATACGTAATCAATCGATTTTAATTTTTCATTTTACCAATTATTTCTCAATGACAAAATATATTATTTAAGTATTCGGTATTCGGCCGAATAATATGTAGATATTCGGTATTCGGCCGAATATAATAAAAGCAGCCGAATAGGCCGAATACCGAATAGTAACCGAATATTCGTTGCAAGTCTAGTTTAAATCAAACCTTAAATTTTGACACGATGTAATTTGTAAATCTTGTAAATTTTGAAGCGGTTTGTACAGTACAAAATATTGTTTTTAGCTATATTTCGAATCACATATCCGCGAATATATCCAAATATCCGAAAGTTTTGTCTCAGCAAAGCGTGTTAGGGTACAGCTAGTTGTTTATTAA